CCTTGCATTAATTGTCTCTTCCAGCTTTGTGTCATCTACTCATTTGTTAGACACGCATTTACCATTTCCATCCAAGTTATCAATAAAAATACAGAACAAGAGTAGGCAAAAGTGAAGCCGTGTGGAATGCTACTGATGCCCTTCCTCCTGCTTTGGCAGGGATCCATTAAATAGTCCTTGGGCAAAAATTCTAACACAGGTTGAAAAGTTAGCCTATATTGGAGGAAGGAAAAAATGTCAGTTAACAAAACTGGAATACGGATGATAGACTACATAGTATTGTGTCCATTCAATGTCTTGTAATAGCCTATAATAAAAAAGAATATGAAAAGGATATGCCTGTGTATATATATACATATATATATATATATATATATATACATATATAGAGAGAACTGAATCACTATGCTGTACACCAGAAAAGAATACAACATTGTAAATCAATTATACTTCAATTAAAAAAAAAGAAGTATTGTGTCCCTGTTAAACTTATTAAAGTTGCCATCTGTACTGTAGTCATGTAAGAGAATATCCTCATTCTTAGGAATACACGTTGAAGTATCTAGGCTTAAAGGGCTGTGGATATACACAACTCATTCTCAAATGGTTCAGAAGAAAATGTGTGTGTGTGTGTGTGTGTATACAGAGGAGGGGACTGAAAGAGAATGAAATGGGGTAAAATGTTGAAAATGGTTCAGTTTGGTAAAGAATACATGGGCTTCTATGAACCATTTTTCATTCTTATAACTTTTCTGTGAATTTGAATTTTTTTCCCAAATAAAAAGTTAAAAAATAACTATTATTTATCTTCCCTAAATTCTGTTGAAAAATCAGATTTTTAATATTAAGAGCAAGGAATGCCTATAAAACTGCCTTTTAGCTACTTGGTTTCAAAGTTACTGACACTAAAGAATGTTCACAGCATTAACTCCTTGTAATTATTTCAAAATATCAACTGACCTAAATGGTAGCTGAGGAATGATAACAGCTCGGCCTTAAGAAAGGGAAACATAGGTTTTTAGGGCTTATTTTAGTATAACAAATACTGATTCTTAAAAGAGGTGGGCAAACTTCCACAGGAAGTTGTGTGGGAGCTTTGCAGAGGGGTGTAGGTCTAGAATTGCTGAGCTCAAGGGCCAAGTAATACGACATGAAGGACTCTGACGAGTGAGAGTTCTCTTTCCCTGCTCCTAAATCCTCCAACTACAATTCTGCTGGTCTAAAAGATATGCTGAGATTCCAAAGGGATAACCAGAGCTAAACCACCTCTTGCTCCTCAAATGTTAAGTTAATGATTCTTAAAGGGTGGGCCTCAGACCAATGGCAGTGGCAGCCGCATCTGAAGCTGACTGGAAATGGAGAATCTCAGGTTCTACACCGTATTAATCATTTTTACATAAAAATAACACTAGTACAATTCGAGAAACTTTGCAAGATTCCGTTTAGTAAGTCTTTCCAACTTTCTAGATGTTGGGGATAATATATGACCTACAAAAAACTTATTCTGATAGCTCTTTAAGAATTATGTTTCTTCATTATTTTAGTTACCTCTAAATAAACTACTTTGATGAGGGGACTCTGGTACCCCACTATACAGACACTCAACAGATTTAAATTCTCCTTTTGAAGATCAAATAAACCTCAAGGTATACCTGCTAGATGAGATACAAAACAGGAATCTTAAGAGCATACTTAGATCAGGGTAGACATGCCAGTAATATTTCTGGAATCACAATATCTACATACTAGCCTAATAATTAAATCAAGAATTTCATACTTTGCCTACCTAATCTTAAAACTTGAAAAAAATACACTGTAAATAGTAGTCTTGTGTCCTCAATTTATTTAATTTCCAACGAAACCCATCAATCCATTGAAGACATAAGCCTGAAATAATACAGCTTTAAGACATATCTAAAATAACCTCTTACCAAATTCTAGAGAAGAGAAATGTTGAGTAGACAAAGAATGTGTTTTGTTTCCAAACTACGAAAGCAAATCGTGGTTCCAAGGGAATAATGTCAAACTAAAGAGTATATCTTGCATGGATAAACAAAAAGAAAAGAAACTACAAATTAAATAACATTAAAATAATAAAATAGTTGGGCAAATTAGATTTAGGTGGAGAAGGGACATTATTGAGGTATTTGGTAGAAATGAGTGATTTCTAGGGCTTTCTAGCCTAAAGAGACCACACGTAGAGGAAGTAAGCTTTCCTGGCCTTCTTGAACTCCTGGAAAGAGACTTAAAGGTGGTAATCTAGAGAGATGATATCAAACCATTCATTTCTCTGTCTCTCCAAAAGATTTTTTTCAAGTCACAGCATTAATGTTGTCAATTTCCATGAGATTTTAAAATAAATGAATTAGTCCTCTTTAGCTACAACTTAATAAAAGAAAAGTGAACTTACGTCTTTCAGCTGTGTTTCCATTTCATGAATACTACTCACTGACGCATTGAAGCAACTTGCAGCCACAGTCTGTAAGTAAATCAATGTTAGTTAACATTGTAAATTTAACAACAGAAGTTTCCTAGTTTATTCAGTTCCATAATAATACAGTATATTCACAGGGGCACCCCCAAATCAGATCTAGTTCATGCTGGTGAACTATCATGATAGGTAGCAGAGAAGAATGAAGACATCCTGGAAGCTTTCTAAGCAGACTGGAAACCCTGAGATTTCATATCTAATTTGACTTGTAAGGTTCCTCTGGACCCCGGATCACCAGAATAGTCCTCAATGCATATGAATAGCCCAGTGGTTTTCATCAGGAGACAAAACAAAAAACTAGGCTACTAAAATGAAATTTGGAAAACATTAAATTGTCAGATGAAAGGTAAAAGTTGTTTTCTAGACTTAAACTTGTATTACCGATAGTATTAATTAGTATTCGTTCGTATAGATCTCAAAACATAATTTGTCTCCTCTTTTTTCCTTCTTTTTCTCATAGAGGAAAAAGAGGGGAAGTAGGGGGTTAGGTACCCAGGCTAGCCAACAAAATTCATTAAAAGCTCTATTTCTGGCTTTTAATAGCTATAAGGCAAGAGACTTGTGTGAAGCCTGGCAAGGAAGCTCAAAATATATTTTCTTTTCTCCAAAGGGGCTCTAGACACTCACTCTAAGTATGTATCCCTTTCTCCCTTTCAATTTAGTCTCTTAGGTGGAAACTATTACAGAGATAGTTCACGAAACCCCTTTCCTTTTATCCCTGGGTGCACCGTGGACTACATTTCCCAGCATTCTCTGTGGTTAGTGAAGTCATGACACTGAATTCTGACCAATGGAATGTGAGCAGAAGTGAGCTATGCTAATCCCAGGCCTAGCCCCCACGCTCCCCCAATTCTCCACATGCTCTCTAGCCCACAGCTGTGTGTAGAGGACCTGCACCTTGAGGGACAGGGGTATAGTCCTTCCTCCACTAAAAGGAACGAAACTGGATCTCTGAATGACTCTGTGGAGCAAAGCTTCCTCCACTCCAACCTGCACTAGACTGTGACATGAAAGAAAAACCATCATTTGTCATATGAAAAATAATCATTTGGAGGTTGGTTGTTATAGCAATTAGACATGCTGATCATACAGAAATTAATAGTGGGCCTCCCGCACAATTACTACAAGAATGCATTTTTAAAAATTATTCATTTCTACCAAGATTTACATTTCTCTTTAAAAGGGGAGAAACTAATCCTTGAGTTTTAAGGAAACATTTAGTCAACCACTTTGGATTTGACTGTAATGTTTCATGAGTTTCAGCTCTATGGAAATTCTGTAGAAAAACTTAACCTCTTTGAACTTATTTGTAGAAAAACTCAATCGTTTATCTATGAGAATGCACATAAATTATAGGTCTAATCAATCTGACTACCCTAAAGGGGAGATAACGTAGAGAGACTCCTAACAATATAGAGATATTATACCTGAAAGCTATAGATTTTCTTCTATAGGTGGTATTAATAATTGTAGTGTTAGTGTTATTCAAACTTCCAAAAGAATCAAAGGTATGATCAATGAGAAATCATGTATTTAGCACTTACTATATGTCAGGCACTATCCTAGGTAATGTGTATACATTGTAGCATTTAATCTCCAAAATTCTTATTCAGATTTTACCCATGTGAAAATTAAGGTTTAGGAGCGGAGTCTAGTGAATTCTAGTGTTGTCTCTAAGGCTAGAGAGGTTAAGGAATTTGTTCAGTTACACAGCTTAGCAAGTGGAAGAACCAAGATTTAAACTCATATCTGCCTATCCACAAATCCTTGCTCTTTCTGCTACACTAGTGACTCTAAAACAAAAAAGGAGGAGAAAAAGCCACATGTAGTTAGGAAAAGCATATTTGAATAATATAATTGGGTATCACAACTATGAAAAATAATCAAAAAATGAAGCCTACTGTGTTCATGAATAAAGAATTAAACAAAATCTTCCTGACAGCTGTGGATACACAGTGGATTCTGCATACCTGGGCAAAACAATGGTGTGGGGAGTAGAGGGAGCCATATTACCTATTTTTATTTATGGAGAAGTACCAGGCTATTAAAAAAAACAAAGTAACCTGTTAGTATACTACCTGTTCCACCACCTGACAAAGGATACTTCAATAAACTCATTCTTCATAAGAATTACAAACTATAACAGAAAGGTTAAAAAAAAATCTATGTTTAAAGAAATTAGTACCTGTGATAAATGAAGTGTATTGGCTCTGCCTTCAAGTTCAGCAAGCCTAGCGGTTGTAGCAGACAACTGTTTTTTCAATACATCTGTCTCTTCAGACAGGGATTTTAACAGCTGTTCCCTCCTTTCCCCTTCCTTTGTTTTCTCTTCCAGCTGTTCAAGCAATGTAGTAGTACTGTATTTAGCTTTCAGCTGGTCTCTGAGTCGCTGTATTTCTTTGTCCTTCTCTGTGAGGCAATAAGCATTCTTTTCCCTCTCAGCTTCAAGGACTCGAATTTTCTAGATATAAACTAACAAGAATCTTAGAACAAAGCCAGGTCAAATGTGAAAGCAAACAGTATACTACACTAAGCATTTATAAAGTGTTGATTACATATTGAGTCAGCATTATACCAGACACCAGGGCCAAAAAAAGATGAAACCAAGGTCTTATGCTCAGAGAGCTCAAAGACAGGTAAACTAACACATTAATGCAATATGGTTAGTCCTGTAGTTAAGACATATATAAAATGAATGGGACATGGACACAGAAAGGAGAAACCAACTGTGTCAACAGTGGTGACAGAAAGCTAAGGAAAAGCTGGCTCTTACCTGAGTATCCACTAATCATTCCTCCATCATACCAGTTCTAATAATCTTACAGGCTAAAAGTGAGTCACACAAGAGACACGTGCTCACTGATGAACTTGAAGTGACAGAATTTTAAAATTACAGAATGTTACAGCTGGGTAAAAGTGCATTTATAAACTTGCTTCTTATTATTAAATGATTTGGTATCAAATCTAGAAGGTGATCTTCAAAGAAGTGTTCAACATTTTCAAGGATTTGAAAGATAAAGAAGGCATGCTTGCTAAACTGCTGGCATAAGGGAGAAAGCACCAAAAGAAACGGTAGGAAAAGTTAACAGAATGGCTTTACATGCTAATAAAGGGGAAAAAAAAACAACTAAAAAGTTGCATTTGGGGGTTGGGGGGAGAAGCAGCTGTTCAAATAGAGATAGGGAAACTGAGTTGGATGGTCCTGTGAAAATGATGAGATTTTAGTTGGCTGTAAGCTTAAGATAAGACATTAGTATGATAGTTACAAAAAAAAGCCAGTATAATTTTAAGCTTTCACTGAGTACAGCATCCAGGTTAGGGGAAATAATAGTACTGTTTCAACCTGTGTTTGCCACTGCATACAATATTGGATGCATAATTCAAGAGGCATCTGACCACACCATAAAGTGTTCAGGAAAGTGACCAGGACGAGAAAAAGCCAGTAAAGCTGAAGAATGTGGGGTTGGTCTACAGAAAAGTAGGAGGAAGTGAGATTTCCTCAGATAACTTAAAAGTTGTCAGTTGGATAAAAAATAGACTTGTTCTGCTTTAATGGACACAATTAGAACGAATGGGTAGAAGTTACAGGAGGTTTATTTACAACTGATTATAAATGGGTTTTGACAGACAATGTTCCTGAGAAATGGAAAGAATTTGAAAGAGATCTTTCAGGAAAGCTATTAGATTCCTTCACCAGATTACAAAACAATCTTTGTGTCTAAGAATTGGTGATAGCCCATTTCTCAATGCTTGAACAAGCATTCACCTCAATATATGTTAAAAAACAATAAGTCACTTGGTTTTATGATATGCCTATAAAATAAAATTTAAAGAAATTCAACAAATTATTATTTAATACAGGTCATTTATTTTCTAACTATGAATAATAAAAGTAGTTTTGCAAAATAAATTAAAATCTAATGATTAAATTTTTAAATCCTTTCAGTTCCAATAAATTCCTAACTGCCTTACAGACTATATCATAACAAATTGTAAATTAGGAAATACTGTTTAACAGAATGCAAAATGCCAATATATGTAATGAAAAAAACCTGAGAACAAAGATTACTTGGAAAGCAGTCAACATATATGATAAAATAAGTTTTTAAACATTCACATTAAAATCTAAATCCCAAAGTTGAAACGATTCAATTTGATTTTTTACGTTTAGTGAACCAAAAAACTAGATTGTATCATCATTAGGTGAATACTCTCTTATCTCCTGCGGTAAAGCTTACTACAGTTTAAAGGGTTTTACCTCCAAAAGCCTGTGTCTTTCTTGATCAGTCAGCTTTCCTTTTCCACTTGCGATTTCATCCACTGTTGTTTTTAAGGCTGCAATTTCTCCCCTAAATTTCTGTAATGCAGTTTCTGATTTGGAGTTACTAGGCTTTGGTCCCCATTTACTTTTAATTAAATCTTTAGGACTTCTGGAAGACATCTTTGCAAGTGTCTGTAAAAATAAAAATACAATTATATTTTATAAGTTTACAAGGTCACATCTCAAGTTTGAAAAGGTCTAATAACCTATTTGCTAAGTAGAATAACCTTTCCATCTAAATAGAAGTGATACAGCCAGACCAGTGGGTTATGGGAGATGGACTGGGTAAGGCTTCTAGCTTGCTGGTTTAACAACACATATTTTTTAATTTGGGTGGTAGATACATAAGAAGTATTCAGTATGTCAATTTGTACACTTAATGTTTGTGTAGGATTCTGTTCCTGTGTCCCACTTGAATAGAAAAGTTTCGTTTAAAAAAAATGGAGGCATAACCAATGATTAAACCATTAAATGACGCCTAAAAGAAGTAGTTCACAAAGACATATTTTACCCAGGAATAAAAAGCTAGTAGTAGATAATATAATTTTGAGTATATGGCCATTGAAATATGGTCATTACCTGGCATAATGGTGGGTCCTCTACTTTAGAAGACAAGCCTAGTTCTCTCTTAATAGTTGAGGGAACGCAGTGGTCAGAACTGAGAAGAATCCAATGAAGCATTTATAGGAAAAAAAGACACAGTATTCATGGAGTTCAGGAATGACAGGAATTAAGAATAAGAAGTAAGAAGACTAGCCGATTTGCTAACAGTATTAGATGACATTTTAGAAGCAACGGTATAATAATATAAAATCTAGGAGTAAAATATAAAGCAAAACGTACTATGCATATAATAAAAGTAGCTTTAATTAGGGAGGTTAGAAAGCATTCTTCCACCTATGGACCCGAAGATAAAATAATGGGGATGTGACAAAGGAATCCAGAGGAATATGAGACTACTCATGCATTCAAAAAATATTGGTGAGCTTAGTTTACCAGGCAGCTTAATAGGTGCGGAGCATAAACAGGCAAAAAAAAAAAAAAAAAAAAAAAGGAAAAAGAGAAAAAGAGCCCTGTCTCTTACACAACGGAATCTTTAACCTAGCAAAGGAGGCAGGCAATAACAAGGAAGCAAATACAGATTCTCAAGTTGTAAAATAAACGCTATCCAGGAAATGAAAAACACAATGATAAAGGGTACCAATATAAACAGGGGAGACCTCCTCAGACACAGCTGGGGGGAAGGCTTCTCTATGGAAGTGACTCTCTACGGAAGGTCATCCTTCATGAACTCAGAGAGCCTGAAAATACCAGAACTGCGTACACTGAGCTGAATAGGCCATCTAACAAAAGGTTAGTGCTGGATTTTCGCTCATTCTAAGATAAAAGACTAAGATAACTAGCAAAGGACACAAGGCATCTATCACAGGCCACGTCGTCTGCAAGTGGACGCCAATCTTCCGGAAACCGGCACATGAAATCTCACATGGGAAGAGAGACAGGCAAAGAAAGACTGCAACCAGGGGCACTTTTTAAAATGAAGACGTTTGAAGCCCAGACATGAAAGCGCTTGCTAACCGGCAATATGCTGTACTAACGAAAGACCTCGGCCAGGTCACTCGGCCTCTCGGCGCCCGCCTGGAAGAGGACGATAATACCCACCGCAAAGCTGAAGGGAGGGATCGAACCGGCGACGGTCGTGGGGCGCCCAGCCAGGTGTCGGGCACGGAGCGAGCACCAGGGAAGCGGGCCAGGCACGGCGGGCAGAGATTGAGTCCCAACCGGCGCGGTCTCCCGCCGAC